AACAGTTTGCGGAGAGAAGGTTTCGGATTGCGGAAGTGAACAATCGGTGGGAGAGAAAACATTGGGAAAACAGGAATTGGAGGAATCCAAAGCACAAAAACCTCCACCGGCTCAAAATAAAGAATCAAACGACAATGAGGAGAACCCAACGGAAGCAACAAGTCAGGAATCTCAGACTACGGAACACCAACAAGAAATAAAACCGCCAGTAGATGAGAATGACACTACGAGCACCGATGCATCCACAGCGGTTGCCGCACTGAGTACATCAGCCGACAGTCAAGAAGAAGCAACTGAGTCATCTTCCAATGGCAGTCATTCTCCACTTCAGGGGGAATTATTCACTGGAACGGACACTCCCGAGAATGCGGCATCTCCGGCTGCCGCGGAAACAGAAACAGTCACCGTCGCTCAAAAAAATGATACGGCGACAAGTGACGGCAGCACCGCGGTCTCCCACGCCACCTCCCCTCTTTTGCTTCTTCTTCTTCTTCTTGTTGCGTGTGCGGCTGCGGTGGTGGTGGCCGCGTGAGAGTGAGTGAGAGCCGTGCACCGCCCGCACACACACTCGTCCTTCTCTCTGTGTGTGTGTCCCCTTGCATGGACTCTCGCCCTCACCTCACCCCACGAGGCACACAAATAATGTGTCCATTGTATATATGCATGCACACCCATGCAGGCCCGCTGGTGCTCTCTTTTGCACGACACGCACCGCTGCCGTCCTGCCTGGCTGCATGGGCGGAGCACCGTAACTGTTTCTGTTTTGTTTTTATTGCATTGAGTGGGCGACCTCTCTCTCTCTCCCTCTGTGTGTGTGTTTTGCTTTACGGGAGTAATGAGAGTGTGTGCGCTGGTCGTCCCACGCTTCGGCTTTTTTTTTCTCTTTTGTTTTGAATCTTTGCGTGTGTTGTGGTTGGGTGCACCCATTTTACTTTCATTGATTGGTTTTCTTCTTAAAGTGCGGATGGCTGCATTTTCCCTTTTGTATTCTCCTGTTCTTTGTTTCTTCCCACGCAATCGGTCCTTGTTGATTCAGCGAGCCAAGAAATATTTACTTAACACCCACATCAATGGCTTACTTTCTCTACACCCCACATTAGTTTGAGACGCTGGTGCTGCTGCATGTGATGATGTTTATGGTGTGATTGCCGGCGGGTGCTTTGCTGTCACTTTGACGTACCCTCGATTTGTTGAATATGTGATGCGTGCCGACAGCACGAGTTGGATCCGCGTTGTTGTGAGGGACGCACCCTTTTTGAGCAGTTGGTGCGCTGCAGCCATACACCGTCATTGGGAGGGATTGATGCCCATCCGCATCAACGTATCCACAAGGGACCTGGATGATACCGGGAAGCATTGGATCTCAGAGAGGTACTACGCAATGAATTCATTGAATGGCAATTGCGAGTGTGAAGGTGACGTTGTATCCTCTGCGCACGGGATCATTCTCGAGGATGAAGTTGTTCCTGCTGCTTTCAAACTGCATGCGGATCGTCTGCTCGTGCAGCCACTGGAGGGTCCTTTGATTGTGCCCCCATTTGCCACGGGCAGCGTTTGCAGTCGGTTCACGGTGCGTGCTGGGCATTGTTCCACTGGTGTTGCCAATGCTGACATGGTGCTGTCCGTGGCAGAGCGCTGTCGGTGGTGGTGCACTCGACGACTGCCGTGATGGCTGCGAGGGAGCCTCGCGACAGCGACGACATTGGTGGCATGGAGCTGCAGGATGGCGATGGTGACGGGAGGACGCTGGAGTCGCACTGGTCGCAGCGCCACGCGAAGGATGAGTGGATGGCACCGATTGGTTGTGCCGTCTACTGCACGGAGCTGACGCTGGCCGCACCGGCTGACCAGGGCTGCATGAGGGTGAAGTGGGGGATGGCGGAGCCGATGCGCTGGTGGTGGAATTCGTGCTGTGCGCTGCTGCAGAGGAAGTGCTCCGCACCGAACATGAGTGAATATCCCCAGATGCTCTGAAAAGCGGGCGTTCATGCCAGACGCTGCACGTTGGATCGGTATTCCAGTGGTTGGTGTGTAGACGAATTATCCATGAAGGGTCAGCAGAACGCCCGATGGGCAGTTGCCCCATCATTGGTCCCGCACTGGATGTGAGAAATGCCGCCGCTGTTATTTGGAGGGGAGAATATTTGTCTGCGGTGCCTGGGGACAAGCCCTCTTCGTGGTGTCTGGACACGCTTCCCACCAACACGACGGATGCGAGGGACCCGGAAGAAACATACATCTCGGTGCTGCCATGCATGCGGCATTGCGGTGCCTCGGCATGCGGGTGCGTCTGAGAGTGACTGAAGAGGGTAACGCCCGTTGTGCCCCATGCACGGCCGAGGCGACGATTACGTGGGTTGCTCCGCCCTACGACGAGGGAAAAGCTATTTTCCGTGGACACGCGCAGGTGTGCACGATATCCGCCACCAGCGGCAGGATACTTCCAGTGGTTTCGTGGGGTGGCGATGTGAGAGGGTGTATGGAGCAGGACGGCTTCACTGGCATCTACTGAACAAGCTTTGCTACGGGCGTCCGTCCCCGATCCAGAGAGCATTGGGACCGGCCGCGGCACACCACCGAAGGATGTGGACACGGCTGCTCCCCAGAAGCATCCGTCGCCAGAGGAGAAGGAAGTCGCCTCATGTGCCACGACGGCAACGGTGTGCGCTTGCCCAGCGACACCGCGGGTGCGCCGCAGGAGGCGGAGAAGGAGAGCGATCTTCCGGACAGCGACGATGTGGCCGCCGATGGTGTGACGTCTGTTGTGGGACAATCATTAGGAGATGAGGCTGCCAGCGACAAGGCTGGTGACAGTGCCACAGCCACGGGACCCAAGGGCCCTGATGCCGCTGATGACGCGCAGGGCACCGTGGACCCTTCGCCGAGGGAGGATGAAGCGGCGATGGTGTGCGGGGGTTGTGAGGCCGACATGAAGGACGCCCCGCCTCCGATCCACGGCAATAACACTGCGGCTGCGGCTTGTCCCTTTCCGCTGATTCTTCTGCTTGCCGCTGCCGCCGCGGTGCCAACACTCAGCAGTGGGTGCAAGAGAGAAAGGCCTATATCAACTGGCATGTTCCTATCAGTATATACATACGCTCTGCTTGTCCGTATACTTTGTACCAAGGACATGCTGTATGCACTCTCCCTCTTTTGTTGTTCGCTAATGTGTCGGCACCACGCGTGCATTATGGGTTGGGATAAGAAATTGTTTGACTTCTTCTGGAGGATACTGTGGGGTGTTTGTGTGCGTGTGCGAGGGATCTGTGTGGTTTTGATTTCCCTATTTTTATTTACCTGCTTTGGCATTGTGTAATGATGCTTCGCTTCTCCATTAAGTGTGTTCTGAAGTGTTTCTAGGGCACCGGGAGTGGATGCCTGTGGACGCACACCGTGCATTATGCGCTACATTGGTGGGAGGGGAGACTGACATAACTGGCGGGATTCAGTAAGGCGCTTTTTTGCCCACAGACCCTGCAGCTGCAGATGCCTGAGTGGCGCTTTGCATATGGACGTGTGGATTGTTTCTCTCTTGCAAGGCTTTTTTTACTGCGTGTCATTTTCCGCTCGGGTACCGTGCCCGTGGCAGCAGCGGCGGCATCAAAAGGGCTGTTTGTGCGTGGAGAGTCCTTGATTGAGTGCCTATCTTACTTCTCTGTTCTGTTGATTGATTGTACCGTGTGCAGGCCAAACGGTTGACATGACGTTCTTCTGACGGCGGGGTCCGCGTGAGACGATGTTGCGTCGCGTGCTTTGTTGCGGGTGTGTGATTTCCGCAACGGTTTTTGGGCGGTTGACTGTTGGGTCGTTGAGGGCGGCGTGGCGACGGGTGTGGATGGACCCGATTGTGTGCCGTGGCTGTTCGTGCGGGGGAGCCGCGGGAAGGAAGAAGGCAGCGGAGCGATGGACTCACGAGGAGTGCGGTAGCGTGCAGCCATGAAGATTGGCGACAGGGAACTCACTGCCGCTGTGAGTTGCCGTGTGTGGTGTTTGTTTCTGTTATTAGTACTTGCGTTGTTGGATGTGGCCGCTGTGGGGAAGGCTGTTTTTTGTTTCTTTTTCACGCCGTTTTGGGATCCTTTTCTGCACCGGCATCACTGTGTTCTTGCCGTACTGTTGCGCCCTCTTTCCCGTCCACTTTGGGGGCAGCTGCGGGTGGGTTTTACATGCCGTGGAGTTGTGTGTCGTGCTGTCCGGTGTTTCATTGTTGCCTGCTCTTCCTGCGTGCACGCGTCCCCCATGCTCATGACAACAACCCTCATGCAAATGCTCCTCCTCCTTTTCCATGCTGCTGATGTGTTTGTGTGTGTTCTTCTCATCCTCCTCTCTGTGTCCCTCCCTAGACTGTGTGTGCAGCCGTGATGATGATGATGATGATGATAATGGCTGGCCGTGTGCTGCTGGTGTGTGCCCTCTGCGTTCTGTGGTGCAGTGCCTGCAGTGGTGGACGTTCTGAAAAACCTCAAGTTCCTCCGGCTTCTTCGTCCGTTTATGAGAATGGTCCTAAAACCGACAATTCCAGAGGTGGCGCTGGTGGAGGTCCCCAAAGCGGTCAATTGGCAGAGTTACAACCAGAAGGAGTATTGGTGCGAGGCGCAACCGGAGTGGGTACGGCAACACAACCCGACGCACAAGTATCACCAGGAGCGCCAGACGCAGAGAGGAGAAATCCGGATCAAACGCAAGAATCTGGAGATGTTGTTGGAACGGATGACGAGCAGGAACCGAAAGAGGAGGAAGAAGAAGACTACGGGATTGAGCAGGTAGAAGACGAGGAAGAAGAGGAAGAACAGGAAGAAGAAAAGATTGAGCAAGAAAATGAGAAACGAGAAGAAGAAAGCCGAGGAGAAGAAAAGAAGGATGAAGAAGAAAAACGTGACGGTAAGAAGGAAGAAGAGGAGGAAAAGAAGGAAGACGCTGCTACCGGCACCACAGAGGAGATGCCAGCACGCACTGAAGAGCAGCCGAGTTTATCTTCTGGTGCGGCGGGAGCATCGAATATAACAAATACCAACAGCACACCAACAACTGGAGACGATGATCCAGCAGCTGATGGTGCAGGGACAGCAGAGGGAAAACAAAATGAAAATAAAGATGCCAATCCGAAAGAAACACCATTCGAAGCCACAGCCATGAAAACTACAACGACGACGACTGGCGACAGTGACGGCAGCACCGCGGTCTCCCACACCACCTCCCCTCTTTTGCTTCTTCTTGTTGTTGCGTGTGCGGCTGCTGCTGCGGTGGTGGCCGCGTGAGAGTGAGGGAGAGAGAGCCGTGCACCGCCCGCACACACACTCGTCCTTCTCACTCTCTGTGTGTGTGTCCCCTTGCATGGACTCTCGCCCTCACCTCACCCCACGAGCCACACATAATGTGCCCATTGTATATATGCATGCACACCCATGCATGCCCGTTGGTGCTCTCTTTTGCACGACACGCACCGCTGCCGTCCTGCCTGGCTGCGTGGGCGGAGCACCGTAACTGTTTCTGTTTTGTTTTTAGTGGGCGACCTCTCTCTCTCTCCCTCTGTGTGTGTGTTTTGCTTTACGGGAGCAATGAGAGTGTGTGTGCGCTGGTCGTCCCACGCATCGGTAATTTTGTTTCTCTTTTGTTTTTAATCTTTGCTTCTGTTGTGGTTGAGTGCACCCATTTTACTTTCATTGATTGGTTTTCTTCTTAAAGTGCGGATGGCTGAATTTTCTCTTTTGTATTCTCCTGTTCTTTGTTTCTTCCCACGCAATCGGTCTTTGTTGCTTCAGCAAGCCAAGAAATATTTGCCTAACACCCACATCAATGGCTTACTTGCTCTACACCCCACATTAGTTTGAGACGCTGGTGCTGCTGCATGTGATGGTGCTTATGGTGTGATTGCCAGCGGGTGCTTTGCTGTCACTTTGACGTACCCTCGATTTGTTGAATATGTGATGCGTGCCGACAGCACGAATTGGATCCGCGTTGTTGTGAGAGACGTGCCCTTTTTGAGCAGTTGGTGCGCTGCAGCCATACACCGTCATTGGGAGGGATGGATGCCCATCCGCATCAACGTATCCACAAGGGACCTGGATGATACCGGGAATTATTGGATCTCAGAGGGGTACTACGCAATGAATTCATCGAATGGCAATTGCGAGTGTGAAGGTGACGTTTTTCTATGCTGAGAAAAGGGAAGTATTTGTTTTGTTATACTTTGCTGCCACTGCTCGTTAATGGCCCGCGGGCTGTCCGTAGCGATGTGGCCAGTTTTTCCGTCTTGAACGATGCTGTCGTGCGAGAGGTGGTGTTCCCAAATAGTCGAACGCTTAGTTGTCGAGGACGGGGGCATTCCCACAGCGTGTGCGGCAGGGCCTTCCCGTGAATTTTCGCGGCTCAGCGGCTGGTGGGGTTGCAGCAGAGGAGTGGCTGAAGGGCTACGGCTGTCATCGGAGCATGCAGAGGTGCGTTGTCCGTTTTTTGCTCGTTGATACGCTTGACATTTTCGGTAATGAACTGCGCGTGAGGCACTTGTTGGGAAGACCGTGGAGCTGTCGCAGAATCCACATGTGAGGCCTTCCGCAACGATTGGAGTGCCGGGGTTAGTGCGTCGGGCGTGTGCCTTCATACTGTGGGCGGACGAGAAGACGCTGCTGCAGCTTGGGCAGGGCGACGTTGATCCGCTGCTCGTCGTTCTACGAGGAGGTGCCGTGGACACGCCAGGTGGAGGTTCCGGAGGATGTCGGGGCGGTCCTGTCTCTTCAATGTGAGAGGGCGGCACCACCGACACAGAGGGTTGCCTGTGATCCGCAGGGCGCGTGCCGGTCTGCCGAGGAGTGGGCAGGAGGACGTCAATCAGCCGCTTGTTGGTCGGCAAGGAGTGGCGGTGCTCAATTCGGGAAGAGGTTACGGCGGAGGCAGCGCACAGACGCGGTCCCAACAGCACCGCAGCACAGCCGATCCCAGAGGGCGGGGACGTGGTGCCGCCATGCCTCGAGGCATCACAGGCCTGGGATCGAGAGGGCACCAAGCTGTTTCGCACGGACCTCTGGCAGCATGGAGAAGCCATGGCGGAGGGCATGATTGCGGTCCTCCCATTTGCGGAGCACTTCAGCTCGGGGCAGGCTGCCTCCCGGTAAGAAAGTACGCTCGTTGCATGCTGTCGCCGCAACAGACTCGGCCTGCTCCATTTCGTCCGTCGTGATTCCTGTGGTGTGTCGCGGCTGCCGCGCGGTGCCTCAGTGCATTTCCAACCATGTGTTCACCGAGGCCAGAGGTGTTCCACACGCCGAGGTGGAAGCATCACAGTCGGCATCACGCAGGACAAGGGTGACATGTTTCCGTCGTGGCAGCATGCCTGCCTGTCGCGAGAGGCCGTCCTCCGTTCCTGCAGTGTGGGATGGCAGATGGTGGTCCGAGTCCATGTAAACGGGTGGACGTACAGTGGAAGAAACGCAGTACGTGTTGCGCATTCACATTGGGAAACGAGACGCTGCGGCCGCTGATCTGCGTTGCCTGTGCCGGGACGTCGGACAGCTCACACTCCATGCCGCTTGGGGTGGTGGCGAGGCCCTCTCCTGCCGTCGTGGATCGTGAGCGACCGTCTCACAGCTCATGGTGTGAATTCAGGTCAACCGCAACAGGCGCTGCAGGACCAAGACGACGAATGTCGCTCGCAAAGTGTGAAACGTGAGCAATTACTTTAGAAAGGCTGCAGAGGTTCACCGCGTACATGCTGGGGCTGGCCGGTGGGCACACGCGGAGGGCGGTGGTCTCCAGGCAGTTGGTTCCAGCAGCGACAGGCGCTCGCACGGAAAGGTGTGGCGCACCAAGAAGGCCACGCCGCCGGCACGCCCACTGCAGGCCTGGTGGAAGTCAATGCAGCCAATGAGCCTCGTCGCTGGCACTCTGGTGTCTGCACTCATGCAGAAGAGCCATTTCGCGCCGGTGCTGCGCCAGTCAAGCAGCAAGGGCAATCCTGAAGGGCGAAGGGCCTTAAGTTCTGAGGTGCGGCTCTTGTGGACACCACCGCAGCGGGTGATGCCGGCGAAGTGACCGCAATGAAACGACTGTGCGGTTGTCAGTCGGGCTGCAGGCAAACCGCCTCGCCGCTCCACAACCGACAGTGCATGGGACCTTCTCGAGGGGTGACGCCGTCGTGGTCCCCGTCACGCCCGCAGCAATGCCCTGCCGCACTCACTCCCACAGAGAGACAAAGAGTGTGTGAATGTGTGCCGAGATCACAGCGACTGTCATTGCCAGAGAAGGCCATCGTGGCACCGTCCGTCACGCGTCAGCACACACCAAGCAACGCACGCACCCGGCAAAGCAAACACACAGGAGAAAGAAGAATGACCCCAAGAGCAGGCAACACCTCCACACATGGCGGACATCGTACAGCCGCGTCAGCCGGCCTCCAGCACCATGCAACAAACGTACCACACGCATCCATCCAATGACACCGTGATTCCCACTGCTAACGGTAGACACGCAGCGACCATACTATGTCAGCACGGGATGCAGGCCAACGTCCCGCCGTCGCCAAGACATTCCTGCAGAGCACTGTGCAACTAAGTATATATGTGTGTGTGCTGGAGGAGCAGAAGAGAAGAGGAGCACAGGGAGGCACATCAGCACAGCAAGAGGCACAACTGGAGAGCAGCGACAAATGCGGCAGGGCCCCGACATCAACAATCACACACGATGGCAACAAATACAAAACAAATCCTTAAAGAAAAACACGGCGGCAGGGTGTGGCTGTGTGTGTGTGGCGCTGCGGGTGTCTGCCCGCCCTGGCCGCAAAGAAAACAAAACAAGAGGGAAGAAATGTGTGCTCCGCCCCACAGGCCCTCGTCGCATGCCCACACGTCACGGCTCCCTCAGCGCGCCGTTCGTCGCGGCCCCTCCTCATGCGTGCAGCAGGCGAGGCGCACAGGGCCGTCGTCATGAGCGTGTCGGTGGGTGTGCGAGTGGAGCAGTTGGGCGGGAAACACACGGCACCCCTCGCAGGAAGAGTGCAGCAACAAACAATTAAAGAGGGAAGAGTAGAAAAGAAAAAAACGTCCATAGTGATTGCCCCAAAAGCAAAAAGAAGAGATGGGGCAGTGAGAGATAAAAGCAAAAAAAAAAAGGAAATGAGAGAAAAAAACAATAAAAAGTAAAAACAAACACACAAAAAAAGAAATGAAGAAAAAAATCACACAACCAGAAAAAAAAACAAAAAACATTTAAAATATTTTAAAGCAAACAGCAATGAAGAATTAAAAACACTTAAAACAATCATAAGAGGACAAAAACAAAAACAGTTACGGTGCTCCGCCCATGCAGCCAGGCAGGACGGCAGCGGTGCGTGTCGTGCAAAAGAGAGCACCAACGGCCTGCATGGGTGTGCATGCATATATACAATGGGCACATTATTGTGTGTGCCTCGTGGGGTGAGTTGAGGGCGAGAGTCCATGCAAGGGGACACACACACAGAGAGAGAAGGACGAGTGTGTGTGCGGGCGGTGCACGGCTCTCTCTCCCTCACTCTCACGCGGCCACCACCGCGGCAGAAGCCGCACGCGCAAAAACAACAAGGAGAAGCAAAAGAGGGGAGGTGGTGTGGGAGACCGCGGTGCTGCCGTCATTGTCGCCAGTCGTCGCCGTATCATTTGCAATAGCTGTGGTTTTTATTGGTGTTTCTTTTTGATTGTTTTTTTTTTCTACTCTTACCAGCGCGTCTAGCTATACAGTGCCATCTGAGTGCCGAAGAGGTGGTCGAACAGCAGCAAAATGAGTTTCCTGCTATGAAGCAACTGCCATTGAGAGAACTTTCCGAGGCGGAGGTCCTGTTCAATGCCCAGCCGTTGGCGCACAGCCAAGGCGCCTGGACATTCTAGAAGCAGATGGCGCAAGGTTTCCTGCGGGCCGATTGGCGTGCTTGTGGAAGCTGGCTGATCCTGCGGCAGCAGAGATCGCCTCCTGGCACTGCTGTTTCGATGCCGTGTGGCGTCTGGGTTGTGTGCGCAGCAACTTCTGTGCGGTGCGGTGCTTCTCCGCGTGGGGAAAACCATGTCACAGAAATCACATTTGAGCTCGGGAAGCGGTGGAGGATGTTTCGGATGAAATGACCGACAGTGACTGACGAGACCCGAGAATCCCGTCAATGTAGAATCGCAGTGCGGACATTTCTCCTTCCGACGGCGTGTGACGGTTTGTCTCCTTACTGGAGAGACGTCTTCCTCCCTTGCCGACGGGGGAACAGTGTCCGTCCCCGGTGCAGTTGGATCGTTGTTAGAGCGCA